CTTATGTGTAATTTTTTAGAGTATACCTCTTAAAAGATAAGGATGTAAGAAATAACTATTGCTATACCCAACAAATTTAGTAGTAATTTGTTATCCTCTAATATTTAGTATTTTTGGCTCCTCAAAAATGTTTTTGGTTGTCTAACTTGACCCAGAATTGAAACAAGGCCCATGTGTTATTACATTTGGTTAACACATTAATTTGTTTCTCTGTTGCTGTGACCAAAAGCAACTTAGGGAAGGAAAGATTTATTACAACTTATAGGTCCGTCATGGAGGAAAACCAGGGCAGGAACCTAGAATCAGAAACTGAAGCAGAGACCCGGGAGGAATGTTGCTTACTGGCATGCTCCGCCTGCTTTCTAGTGGGACTGGAGAGAGAACTCATTTGTTTAAGTGCTTGTCATACAAGCATGAGGACTTGAATTGGCTCCCCAGAACCCTCGTCAAAAATGCAGGCATGGTGACACAAATCCCAGCATTTGTGAGTGGTAAGAAAATTCTGGGTTTGGCAGTACGTGCCTTGTAATCCTGGGCTAGGGAGGTAGAGATGGGTAATATGTGATACACATTGGCCAGCTAATGTCAACAAAATCTGAGTTTCAGTCCAGCAAAAGCCCTTGTCTCAAAAACATCTGGATCTCATATATTCATACACACAAGATGGAAACGGATTTCATCAATTACTATTCAAAACCTTTCAACAGTATAGAGTGGAATATCAGTGTTTGCTGCAGCACTCTAGAAGTCCTTCAGACCCATCCTTCACTGCAGGAAAGGTTTTAAGCCCAGGGAAACCCTAGAGCTCTAATTAGTGGGTTCCTGCTTTAGGACTTGTAATAGAAACAGCTCCTTTCCCCGCTTATCTGTGCTTGGGATTGACATTGACTTTTGGTTCTACTACTACTGATTTCCCTCTGTGTTGATTCTTCTGTCATTGGCTGGTGTGTATGAACACAATTGTTATGACTGTGGATTCAGGTCATTTTATTGCTATAGTTAATGTGGAGCCAGGCATGGTGGCCCACACCTTTAATCCCAGCACTCGGGAGGAAAAGCAGGATCTCTGTAAATTCAAGGCCAGCCTGGACTATGAAGAGAGTCCAGGACAGCCAAGGCTACACAGAGAAACCCTGTCTCAAAAACAAAACAAAACAACCCCCCCCCAAAAAAACCCAGATTATACATAAATTCTGTTTATTAGTTACTCATGACTTTTAACCAGATATCCTTTGCTGAATTTCTCAGTGCATTCCTCAGACTCCTCTCTTAACCCTTTCATTTAGTGTTAGCTGGTTTGCTTTTGTAATTGATCCGTAACCTAGTCTGTATGTTTTTTATTCTATAGTTACTAAACCAAGGAGACTTAACTGGAAGACAAACCTGAGTGTGCTAAATCCTGGAGGATCCCAGAGTGCATGATGGGAACACATCCAAAAGGCTCATATTCTGCCAGACCTGAAATGAATCTGAAGGACAACCACCTCGCTTCGCCCCTGTTCATCTTCCCTGGCAGAGAAGAGGGATGCCTGAGAGCTTCTCGTCAATCGCCATCTGATCCAGACAGAGAATGAGGCAATGACTATAGGCTGGACACCTGTAGCTGCCTCTTTTCAGTGCAACATTTTGGGGTAGACTTTTCCCAGAAGCAAGTTTAATTATGTGTTGGCTGAAGATTTTCATTGTGACTGTTGAGGTTTTCCTTTGAAGAGTTTTCATCTTAGACCCAGCTGTCTTTTCATATGATTGAATGATGTCCTGCTTCCAACCACAGAACTTCACCAGGACATTGAGTTTTCAAGATGCCTTGTTGCTTTGAAGAAGGGAGGGATGCCAATTACACTGTGACATTGCATTCTCTCTTTAGCAACCTGAGTAAGACTCTCAGCCGTTGGGCTGTAAAAATTAAATTACTTGAATCTCCCCTTGGCCCAGGCTGAGGTACCAACTTATCCTGTACACCTACCTGTACATGGTCATTTTTGTTTTGTTTATGGGACTTAAAATAGCATGTTATAAGGGGTTTTTGTTTATTTGTTTTTTTTTTAAGTTAAAATCCACACGATCTAGAGTTTCAGTTTTCCTTTTAAATAAACAAAACAACCCAATCAGCTCTTTGTTTCTTGTTTTAGAGCAGCAGTTCTCAACCTTCCTAATGCTATGACCCTTCAACATAGTTCCCCCTGTTGTGCCGACCCCTATTTATAAACTTACCCCTATCTATAAACTTATTTTCATTGCTGCTTCATAGCTGTAAGTTTGTTACTGTTACAAATCATAATATAAATATCTGATGTGCAGAATATTTGATGTGTGACTCTCTGGTTGAGAACTGCTGGTTTAGACAGATACGGGGTTTTTGTTTTATTTTGTTTGGTTTCCCTGTGTAGCCTTGGCTGTCCTGGAACTCTGCTAGACCAGGCTGACCCCTGCCTCCTGAGTGCTGGGATTAAAGGCATGCACCACTTGGTGACAGATGGGTTCTTAGAGAAGAGGTCAAGAAAATAATCCAGTCTTTCTCTTTGAGATAGAGTACTGAAAAGAAAAGAGAAGGGGGGGGCTGGGAATAGGATAGTAGCTCATGCCTTTAATGTCAGCACTCAGAGGCAGAGGCAGGCAGAGCACTTAGAAGTTTGAGGTCAGCCTTGTTCTAGGGTAGCCAGGGTTACACAGTGAGACACTGGCTTAAAGAGGACACTGATGGTCAGGTGTGGTGATACTTCAGCATTCAGAGGACAGATATCTGGAAACATTTGATGCCAGTCTGATTTACATAGGGAGTTCTAGACCAGGCAAGGCTACATACAAAAAGAAAGAAAGGAAAAACATACTCTTTGGGTTAGACATGGCTTAGTTAAGAGCACTTGCTGCTCTTCCAGGGGGTCCCCGTTCAGCTCACAACACCCTGTAACACCAGCTTCAAGGGATACAATTCTTCTGGGTACCCTCTGGGTACCTGTGTTTATGCACATACTCCCATGACATACACACACATACACATAATTTTAAAAGATAGGCTGCTAATTTACCTTTAGGATACCATATAGGTAAAATTGAACTGAGGAGCCTTAGAAAATGCAAGACTGGTGTTTTTGTTTAGAACTGGCAAACCTAAGCTGTCGGTGGTGGCACACACCTTTAATCTTAGCACTAAAAATGTGGATAATAGTTGGGTATGGCCAGGTGGTGGTGCATGCCTGTAATCCCAGCAATCAGGAGGCAGAGGCAGGCAGATCTCTTGAGTTTCAGGCCAGCCTGGTCTATTATAGAATTCCAGGACATCGAGGGCTACATGGAGAAACCCTGTAAAAGTAAAAAGCAAGCAAATGAAAGAATTGGCAAATCTAAATGTCTGTTATCAGAGTATCAGACCCATCACTAAAATACAATGTCTTAAGTCTAAGAAATGGGTAGTAATAAAGGTTTGGATTTTTTCCAGAAATGGTTAAACTTGAGAAGTGGGCTTCTATTAGCCCATTATCATCTGCCTATGACACAATTATTGACAAGAAAAACATCCCAAAGATTGCCTATTAGTACAAAATCTTACTGGTCAGAGTTTTATTTAAAATGAGTTTTGTGCTGACACACATATGCAAATAGTGTTGTGTTCTCAAAGAATCGTAGAAAAGGACTGCCGAGCCGGGCGTGGTGGCACAGGCCTTTAATGTCGGCACTTGGGGGGCAGACGCAAGTGGATGTCTAAGTTGGAGGCCAGCCTGGTCTACAGGGTGAATTCCGACACAACCAAGGCTACACAGAGAAACCCTGTCTCCAAAAACCCAAGAAAAAGAAAAACACTACCGTTGTGAGTTTTTTTATTAGCATGCATAGTTATCCTTTAGAATGGAGACTAAGTGCCTAGCAATTGTCTTTACAAAATTGCCGGTCTTTTCTTTCTACAGCAGTGACTCTCAAACTGGGACGTTCTGCCCTCTAGAGGCAATATCTAGAAATACTACTTTTGGTTGTCAGCAACCTGAAGAGGGGTGTTACAGGGCATGCAGTAGGTAGAGGCAAGGGGTGGGAAAAACATCCTACAAACAATAAAAATTCACTTGTCCCAGTGTATCAGATGCTAATGCTAAAGCCTGTGCTTAAGATGTGGACTGAGAAACACAGTGTTCCTAAGGGTTACCAAGACACCAGGTTAGTGGCTGCTGATGAGATTGTTGGTCTGGCCATCCTGTTTCCTTATTGCTACCCATTTGCCTACCTCTGCTCTGTTGTGGATGTAAACTTGGTTTTGCTTTGATCCCAGGTGTAGGATATGGTACTGATTCAGATTGTTCACAGCAGCAAACTATTTGCCTGGGGCGGGCTCTGAGAGGGGCCCTTTGCCAGCTGCAGATAGTTTAAATCTGAGGACTCTGGAAAAGGAATAAATGCCAGGGCCTGGAGAGAGAAGGGGTTTCTGAGAAAGAAGGCTGCTGGTGCTTTGCCCCTGCAGTTCCTGGTTGCTGTTGATACAATTGGATGAAGAGAAGTTGGAGATATCCTGAAATGAAGATTGGACTTTCCACAACAAACCTGACGACCCTAAGCAACAGGAAGTAGATAGATTACTTCAGCCCCTGTCCCATGTTAACCTCCTTTCTCTCCAACTGGGTATTGGAGGATTGGGGTGGAGAAGGGAGGAAGAGGCATAAAAATAAAATAGAGTTAAGAAGTACACCAACAGTGCTCCTCTGATACCCACTCTGACAGATGTGGTCTTCTGCCTTATTTTATATTTTCTATATACTTCTAAGTGTCAAGCACAAAACAAGATTCTTTAACATACACCTTCACCCTCAACAAGCCATTTCTGTTCTGTTCTCCCATTCCCTAACAATGGCTTCTAAACTCCTGGCAGCTTGATCTGATGCGATGATGACAGTGAACTGCTTCAACAAGCAGTTACTCTTCCAGCTCCTCCTGGGTCAGCAAGCTGGTTGTTCTAGAGTCTTCTAAATCCTGCCATGAATCTTGGATTCTGAGTTTTGTATCT